AAACCTGTTGTTTATACAGAAAAAGGATGTTTTGCCTTGCACAAAACCAGCTTACACCTTACATTGAAGGCAGGTGATGCTGAATTCCTGTAGTTACCGACAGCGAGAGCCTCGATCGGAGCTCCCCCAGGCCGGCTGTGCTCCCCAAAGCACACGCCAGGCTCGGCAGGCGATGTGCCACCCAGCTCCGCACACCACCCGGCTCAGGGTGCCCAGCTCCGGGCGCACTCCAGGCTTTGCTAAAACCGCACCGCTCCAGCGCTGCGTGCCGGCCACCTCCTGAGCAGCGCATCGCTGGGAAACCCCATCTCCCCCCCAAAAATACCCCCGCGCTTCTCCCCGGGTGCGAGCACGCCTCCTCCTCCCCCCAGGCAGGCTGCTGCTGTAGCCAAGGTTACCCAAGGAGACCCTCGCCGAAGTTGCCGGGTTCCCGTTCCGCGGCGCTGCCCCCCGGCCCCGCACCGCCCCGCGCCGCTCCCGCAGGTGCGCGGCCGCCCCCCCGCACAGGGCAGCACCGGCGAGCGGTAAAACGGGGGGGGAAAAGCGCACCGAGTCGGCAGGGGACGGCTGCTCCCTTCTCCTCTGCCTCTCCTGCGGCTGCTCTGCCGGGTGCACCCCGCGGGGGGCTCCTGGAGCTTCCCCCGAGCCCCCCCAAAAATCTCCCCCCCCCCCCCAAAAGCACCCAGCACGCCCCCGCCGCATTACCTAACTGCGAGCGGCACCGAGCGGCTCGGCACCGGCTCCAAGCGACGCCGAGGCGGCTGCACACCCCCCTCGCCGGCTATTAAAAAAAATAATTAAAAAAAAAAAAAGTGGGAAAAAAAAAAAATTCAAAGTACAACTCCCCGCGCACAGGCAAGTTACTGGCCAAGTCCTGCGTGCAGCCAGACGGCGGGGGGGTCCCTCCCTCTGCCCTCCCGTCCCGTCCCGCCGCTCACCCCCGAAGTTGCCGCGGACCGGGCTGGGCTCCGGCTCCGGCTCCGGGTCGGGCTCGGCTCCGGCTCCGCGCGGCGCTCCCCGCCCGCGCCCGGGATGAGCTCAGCTCAGCCCCGCCGCACGCCGCCCCGCTCCGCCCGCCCGCCGCAGCTCTCGCGAGAGGCGGGGAGGGTGAGGAGGGAGAGGCAGCGGCAGAGGGGCTGCCCCGCCGCCCGCCCCTGCGCGCTCCGGAGAGGCGGGGCGGGGGCGAGCGGCCCCCGCGCGTTGCTGAGGCAACGGCCCAAGCGCCGGGGCTGTGAGGCGGGGGTGACCCCCCCCACACCCGGTCTGCCTTGTGGAAACATAAATACGGACAAAAGTTAAGCACCGTGCCCGGTTATTACACACACGCACTGTGCATAGTGACCTGTGTGTGTGTGAGGCTCCTCAGCGCATGGTGGCCAGGCTCCTCAGGGTGGGCCACCTGGTGCAGGAGCTCTCTTGTCAACTTTCTGCGTTAAAATTGTGGTTTGGGCTTGTGTCGTTACATCAGATTCCAGCCTCCTGGAAACGTGTGGGAAGGAGGGTTGCTGATGCAAAGGAAGAACCTCCCAGCGCGATGCAGATAGCATTACATCAAGCTCTTTTACTGACTAATTAAACTGAATTCCCTCTCTAGATATCCAACAAATTAGTGACATGAAAAAAAAAAAAATGAGCATACATCTCCATCACCCCCTTTTTACATCTCCATCACCCCCTTTTTTCCTACATCACCCCTTTTTCTCCTGCTGCAGTGGCCAAAATTTTAAACAAAATCAGCTGGGGGGTAACCCTTTCTGGATACTCTGCTGGTTGTCATTACTGTCCTTGGCTGGACAGTACATTGACAATCGCAGCTAAACTGATGTAACCGAAGCTTTCCCCGAGCTGTCTCTGAAATTAGGACGCTCCAGAAATCATCTCAGATTGGGGCTGGCTGCCTTCCAGCAGCATGCAACACGGCGACAGCGAGAGCGAGCGTGCTGTGGCGAGCAGCTGCTCCACCGCCGAGCTGGAGCTTCACCCACGGTCACTTTCCAGGAACGTTTGGACAGTCATGACCAACAGGGTTTAAGCACGGATCCACAGGATTTGCAAGCTTTCGGAAGATGTTCCTAATCGATCTTCAGTACCGATGTCTAAATACCACAGGGTGAGGTGCTCTAGAAGTACCTGGCTGGATATCCAAAGAGCAATCGCTCTCTTACGGGTTCTTCAGTTTGAGGCTGTGACTCCAGCAGGTGTTACGGAGTCACAAAAATACTCGCTATCGCACCTTGCATAGTAGAAGGAATGTTCTAGAGGGATGAGATGATCCCAGTGCAGCTCTGGCATGGAAGAACAGGAGAGTTAGCTGTCCAGAATCATGAATAGGAACATTTTAGGTATTGAAATGCATTCATCGTGTATCACCCAGCTGAACAGCTAAGTGTATTTTACAGAAATTAAATAGTTTCTTAATGGCAGTTCTTACAAGGGGAAGTTCAAACAGGCTTTCACTCTTCAGGTACATAAATACAGCAGAGCTGGATGTGACTATGGCATCATGGTGCACGATTACTCAGTTTGCCCTTATCAGAAGAATTCAGCTAGCGAAGCCATCACAGCAGTGCAAGCTGTTAATGAGGCTACTGCATTCCCAGATCCTCCACACGCTTCTGACGTGTCAGATTGTAAGATGTGGGAGATGCTCACCAGGGCCACAGAGGGAGGGAGAGGCTCTGACAGAAGGCACCAGCCCAGCTCACACGTTATCTGAGACTCGCCCCCGGTGGAGGCCCACACCCTTGGCTGAACCACAGGGATAGGGCTGGGCCCGGCTCCGGGGCCCCTGTGGGCTCTCCCTGAGTCCCAAACCTAAAAGGTCGACATCCAGCCACGCAGGGCATCCTGGCATGGGGGCTGCTGTTACGAGGCTCGGCCAAGCTGCTCTCCTCGCCATGTTCTGCCTGTGCACAGTGCCTAGAGCTGCAGTGAGGGGAGCAGCAATGCTCGCAAGCAACATGTGCTCTCACAGGTCTCGGGATAGCCTGAGCTGGTTTTCCTTAAGTGGAAATAAAAGCATGTTTGTGCCTTTGTAATTAAGTAATGCTAACTTGTTTCTTAGCAGGGAGAGGGATGAAGAATTTATAGAGTTTGGCTCTTCCCCATGTAAGGACACGGTCAGAATAGCAAGTCTGGAACAGCTGACTGCGTGGATACTTATCATGGAATAAGAAGGGGTTTATTCCAAAATAATTCCCATGACTCAATAATGCACAATTAATTCTAGAATAAAAGGACTCTCTTCCTTTTGATAGAGCACTTACACATAGGCCTCTGCTTGAATGGCTGTTGCAAAATGAATGAGGCACAGTCGTCGTTTCAGTTTCCCTGTGTAGACAAGCCCTAAGAGCCTTAAGAGTTTCTGAATGCTAATCCTTCTTCTGCCACTAATGTGTGTGTAACCTTAGGCAAGTCACTCCGTTTCTATTTTAATATTCTCATTTAGACGGAAAGGGAAAATGATAGTTATTTACCTCAGAGGAGTGAGGTGAGAGTAAATTAATTAACATTTATGTTGCTCTCTGAAGGTTTAGTGTTATGAAAGGGTAAGTAGTAGGACTGTTTCTGATTAGGGCTGGTCAGAGTTCCTGCAAGCGCAGGGAAAATTTGACTAAGAATCTGAACCACCCTGAAACAAAATGCATTATTTATTCATTGATGAACAATGAACATGTGAAAATTTGTATACAGCGCACTCTTCCAAGAAGGAAAGCATTACAATTTGGATATACAATGTGCCAGAAAAACAGATGAGGTAATTCATATGTAGATCATTCACAAGAGCTCAAGACCAGTGAGTTTCAGGATATGGAAAAGGTCCACATTCTCATTCATAGTCTCAGGAAGTTAGTGTATGTTGGGAAGGTTTTAGAGTATTTTCTAGCACTATTGGCCTGGGGCTTTTAGAGGATTCTCTCTAATATGGATCATTTCATTGATCCAGTTTACAGTACATAAATAGATACGCTGCCATAGCAAAGGACAATTTTCCTTTGGGGGCACTGCGGACAGGAATAAGAGGCAACTTCTTTGGCCAGGCTTTGGCAGAAACGGCAGTATCTTGTGAACTGTAGCTTCTCTGTTCTTTTTTCACTCACTAACAGGCCTTTTCTGACAAGAAGTAGATATAAACACTCGCTGACTTCACCAGTTCCTGACTTCACCATGCAACCTGTACTATCAACTCTGAACTCTCCAAGGGAAGGAGACTGACATTTAAAAGTGACCCTCTCTGCAGCATACAAAAATTCCCCCTGAAGTACATCTGTTCTATTTAATTTGCATGGGTAATTACTAATTGGGCATAAAGTATTTGAAGCCGTTAAAACTCAGAATTAGAAATACACATTAGTTAGAATTTAAAATACTTATATCTGTTAATAAAAGCAAAGAAATGTTTCTGACTTTGGTGCATTTAACTTGGTAGAAATATTGAAGAATTGATTGGAGAAAGGATTTGAAAAGAAAGAAAAGACTGCAGCATTTACAACAAAACTGCAGCATAGAAGAAACTGCGAGGGAGAGCATGGAGGCTGGTGGAAAGGGATCAGTAAGTAGGAAGAACAAAATTGAATGATCAGTGTCAAGTCTGACAGGCCAGAATTGTGACCTATCAGCTGTCAGGGGGATCACGGAGGCACACACACAATTTCAGTTTCCTCCTGCCAAGCCTGTCTGTCCTGGTTTGTGATCAGTAGGCTCTTTCTCATAATTTGCAAGGATCTGCATCATCCTCTAGCATTTCAGGGGACTGCCAAGCCACTGGCATAGAGAAGAGAAGCCCAGAAACTGTACTAAGGGGAGCCACGTAGTTCATAGGCAGGTACATATCTAATCCTCAGAAAAGAAATTGCAAAATATACACATGCAGACCAAGTCTGCACTTACAGAGGCACACAGACATTATCTTTATGAATCAAAAAGGCTTTTCAATGGTAAAGACACAGTTAATAACCTTGACTGATTGAAAAAAAAAAAAAAAGAGAGAGAGAGAGGGAGAGAGAGAGAAAATAAGTTTTATTTGGATGCACAGTAGAACACTTAAGAATATTATTTTGGTGTTGCCATTTGCTTTTAACTCAGCACTTGGAACAAAGACATTCCTGGTTATACAAATGCCCACCAGTTCAGCATTATATGCCAAATAGTCAGAGTACTTACTGTAGGCTTAGAAGAAAACGAAAGATTAGAGAAGGAGAGTTAGAGACTTTCTTTGCCTGAGAAGAAGGTAATGCAAAAGGGACTTTGGCAAAGAGGGGGTTCTTTTGTTTCAAATTTTCAAGTGACGTGATGCAGCATCAGCCATCAAATCATACTATACAAATATTTTAAAGTAGAATAAGCAGCAAGCACAATCCAGAAGAACTCCAAAGTGCTTTTGTAGACTATTTAACACAAAGCTCCCCTCCCATGCATTAAAAGATTAATGGTGAAAGTCAAACACTCAAAAGTAATAAATGCCAATTGCCATCTGCTTATGCCATTATTTCAGATTTCTTGGGCACATGCACTCCATAATATAAATTGTAATTCTATGATTACACAGCTTTCTCCACAGCTCCTCTGAAGCCAGGGGATTTGGAGTGCAGCTCCACACCTTCTTTTCTGCATGCTCTTGTCCACTGACTCTGAAGACAGGAGGATGCATTGCCCACGAGGCTGATCTAGAGTGTTCATCAGAACAGAACATTTCACAAACAGTATCTAATGCATTTTCACCCCTTTCCTGTAAGGTGATATTATTATCCCCATTTCACAGATTAAGTGGCTAGCACCTGGTTTTCCAATACATTTAGCACTGGGTAGCTCTTCTTTTCAAGGAAGCTCAGCTCCCCAGGAATTCCCTTTTAACTGTGAATGCCTCTGCAAATCAAGTCGCAGGCCCTGGAGGAAGGCTGTAGCTGAGGAGACACTTTAGGACTGCATACGCAGGTACTGCTAACCAAAGAAGCAGATCTGTCCACTCCACACCCTGCTTCTTCTCCCGGCCGTCTGCTTCTTCCTGCCCCAACCTTTGTCCTTCACGGATGTTCATGTGACTCTACAGCAAACTGACTCAGAGGACTGATCCAGCTGGAAACTAACCCAGCAGGAAAAGTACCCCTAGCTTTCAGACAGATGAGCTTCCTGATCCAGTTTACAGTGTGGCCTCATAAATGCCTCTCTCAGTACAAGAAGGGACAAGATACAGGAACAGACAGCCAGGAGGGCAGGCAGGTAGGATTCCCTTCTTCAGTGGTGCTGCCACTTTTCTTTGGACAAAAGTGTTTGTCAAACTTTAGCATGAGGACCACAAACATGTTAGTTAAATAGTTTGGCTCAAAGCTAGACTCAAAGAGAGACAGAAGCTGGAATAGAGAGTGGTAGGGGTGGAAGAGCTCACAGTTCTGGCTCAGCTGCCCTCTTACCTGAAAACTACCGAACTCTGTGCTTCTGTGGGACTGCTCTTCATTGTTGGGACTTGCACATTGTGTTCAAACATAACACGTAAATTGGCATTCCTCTTCACTGATTTCCCAAGCAGCTTGTATCTGGAGAAGAATACGACATTTTATTCTGCAAATGACTGAACTCTTTAAGACAACTCAGCTGAAAGGAGGGAGTGTGTTTTTGTTTGTTGTTTCTGTTATGAAGAACACAGTTTAAAAATACACAGAAACTGTCCAAAGCCAGTATCTCAGGGCTGATATTATGCTCTTTCACTGGCACAGGAATTCCTCTCTTCCTTTCTAGGAAATAGCAGAATTTCATCAGAAGTGGTAGAGAATGCTCCCACCAAGAACAGCTCACGACAGTGTGCTTAAGGCATGCGCCTGGTAAGTGGGAGGTGTCACTGGACATTCCTCTGGTCCTAAGAGAAATGCGACCCAAGTGTCCTGTATCCTGGGCAAGTTTTGTCCACTATGGCAGAAAGGAGCGGGTCCCTTTCTGCTGGCAACACCTCAAAATGAAAGCAACCTCTCCTTTCTACTTGTAATATACATCTTCAGAAAAAAAAAAGAAAAAAAAATGCAGGCTGTGAATACTAAGGAACAGAAGTATCACCTAATATTATCTTGGATTTTAATAGTCAAATCCTTTAAAGAGAGAGGAAAACAAATAAACAGTACCCTTCGCAATGCCTAGTAAGTTTAAACAGAATTCTCAAACGTGAATGATTCACTCTGAAGAAAATATCAAACAAAAAGCCTTCAGATACATTTCATTTTTGTATGTCCATAACTCAAGGTGACTATTTTCTAAGCTATTTTATATGCAATTAGTCTGAAATATGTTTTTTTAGCTCTCAGTTTTCTGAACAAAATATAAAATGACACAGTTATTAACCTTTGGGAAATGTCTCCTACACACAACAGAATTAAATTCTACAGAAGAAAAAAAAAAATGAATAACATTGGGAGAAATTCCAAATGACTTACCACTCATTTGTTTGATGGATAGTTGGGCTAGCTCTCACTTTTTACTGAGCTGCCAATCACCCTGAGTTCTGGGATATGTTCCGAGAACTCACTTAGAATCACAAATTGCAGTCACAGGCTTCCGTGGCTGAAGCTGTTATGGAAGAAACAATTACTTAGAGAAGATGGTACTGTTTCTGAGGGAGGGTAATGTTGTGGTATCAGTGGCTTTGACTTTTCAGCAGCGTAAGTTTCTTCTTCTAATATGACATTTAAAGAGATGTTATCTGTTTGGAAATCTGTTCTGTCTGAGGATTTCTCTACTGATGTTGAAACTCAAGCTGAGATCACCATAATAGATAGAGAGAGGGAAATTGTTATATCAGTTTGTTTATTCTGCATTTGGCAACTCTCTGAATACTCAATTTCATTCTTTCCATAGCAAAGGGTGTTAGTCATTCTGTTGTTTGTCTGAGTATTTCATATAGTAAGAGGAAAAGGGAAAAACATTTTGCAATTCTTGAAATCCAAAAACTGACAAAAGGATTCCGGAGTGTGGCTAAAATTTTTTGAAAGAGCTAACCCACCTGTCATTACTACGTGTATTGTAAAAGTATATTTATACTCACAGAGTACACAAAGTCAACAGAGTCAGTTATGCTGAGTAGCTATACTTCTATTTTGGTATAACTGCTTCAGTTACTATAGGAGCTGCACGTGGCTCATCCTAGATTACCTAGATTAAAAGTCTGGTTCATCAGATTTTTCATTACATCTCAGGCTCGAATGCCACCTTTTCTGTTGTGAAAAGCGCTTCCTATCTCACATCAACTCTTTCAACACAAAGACGTGGGGAAAAAAATCAGGATCTCTTCTCCCTCAATATCCATGCCACAGGGTTTCTGTAACAGGAGTGACTTAGCCTCCAGCCAACACCCTTGATTCATTAGGGTGCATTAGTTAGCCTTTCTGCCCCCGCAAGGTCTTGAAATCTTATTACAGGAAAAGATTGCTAAATTAAGATCTCTTAAGATCGCTTTTCATAGTTCAAAACTCAGTATCCACTGTTCTCTTCACTTGCTGAGAAGAACATCAGGCTTCGGTTGCTTTGAAGTCATCTTCCAGCTATTTTCATCAAAGAAGCCTTCACTGAAAAAAGGAGAAGGTTAACACTTCAGTTCAGCCTAGAACTGCTTTTCAGCAATACAAGTGCACCAATATTGATTTATTTTTGCTGCTAAGGAAGAAAAGAGAAGGGTCTGGCCCAGCAAGTAGCTCCTCCAGGTCTGCTGAATCATGAAGGCTTTGAAAGTATCCCATGGCCTGAAAACTATGTTCTCTGGGGATATCCTCTTGCTACTTAATAAACCTTTTCTTCTCAAAGGTCAAATATTCAGTCTGGCCTATCCGTTGTTATTCAAGGTTCACAGAAGTTTCACAAGCAGAAGCAATAAAATAAAAATGTCTGTTGTATATTGTGGTTTCAGAGTACAGAAGTCTGTCTTGTTGATACAAATGTTCATTGAACGCTGAATGGTTTTTAAATTAGCTTATAAAATCATCTAGAAATTATTTACAGCCGGAAGCCGAAGTGTATTTGTGTAAACCTTAGATGGATGTGGCTACAGAGCTTGTTAAGCGTGAATACCAGGCTGGGGCTTTGAGAGCCTGAGGTACTGACAATATTTTAAGACTATCAAATCCTAGTGATGTTAGAACCTCAGAAAAGAATACACAGGGGCTTGTAAAATGGGGCCTCTGGCAATTATCTAGGGGAAGGAGTTGAGAAAAAAATTGCCTGGAGACACCGTTTTAAGAATAAAATCTTCTCCGATTGCCAAGGGACTAATGAACTATATCTCAGAATGCCAGCCAAAGCCCTACTGCCAAAATGTGCATTTCATTTCAGTGAAAGCAAGGAAGAAATGTATTTCAATCTTTTCCATCTTCAAAAATGGAAAACGATTTTAAAAGTCATCAAAAGTTTTTAAATTAAAAAAAAAAAAAAAAAAAGTTATCTGCAATTTTCATTGAAGAAAAGTTAAAAACCCTACACAATGCCATAGAATCATAAAATACCCCAAAGGGATATTCTGTGACTCTATGGAAGGGTTGGAAGGGACCCACAAGTCCATCAAGTCCAACTTGAACTCCAGCAGGCTCAGTGCTGTGACCACTTCCCTGTTGGGCCTGTTCCAGAGCCCAACCACCCTTTGGGTGAGGAACCTTTTCCTGATAGGCAGCCTGACCCTCCCCTGTCCCAGCCTCATGACGTCCCCTTGGGTCCTGTCGCTGTCCCCAGAGAGCAGAGCTCAGCGCCTGCCCCTCCACTCCCCTCGTGAGGGAGCTGCAGGCCGCCATGAGGCCTCCCCTCAGCCTGCTCTGCCCTGGGCTGAACAAACCAAGGGACCTCAGATGCTCCTCATACGTCTTCCCCTCCAGACCCTTCCCATCCTTGTAGCCCTCCTTTGGACACTAAAACCTATTCAGAAATTATTGGAGCTATTTTGAACGTATGTATGGATTTCTCCCAGTTAAAACTGGAAGGAAGAGTTCATGATACTCTTAGCAGTTCTGGTCTAGAGTAACCAACACACTCGTATTTCAGGCCATTTTAACTGTGGAATTCCCTGTCCCACTTTCTGGTGAATAAATCTTTAGGTTTCTTTCTCAGTTTTCTGAAAACCCCTCCTGAGATTAAAATCTCAGCCTGTGTGCCTTAATGAGACATCCTAACGACATCACTGCACCTCCCTTCCTCCAGACTTGCTTTATGTTTTCCCCCACTTTGAATGGCCTGAAACACCCAATATTCCCCACACCAGCTCCGTAAGTATTTTGTTTTAAAAACATATATATATAGTTCTCAATTTTTTAAGCTATTGTGTTTAAAAAACAAACAAACGTGACTTCAAAAGCCATTTAACAGAATAATATAAGTTCTTGCAGCTGCTTTGTCCCCTCTAGTCATCTAATGACATAGGTGGATCTGCTGATCTAATTATGAGGCACATGGATTGCAGGACTTCCTGTCTTGACATTTTCCTTACAAGTTTTAAGATTTTTTTTTTTTTCACAATTTTACTTTTTATGGTTCATTCCTGTACTTGGAATACATACAGAGCTTCCAGATATATTAGTTAAATTTGCAGTGAAGTGACTGTTTTTCTGCCATATCGCCTGGTGGAGTTAATTCCGTTTCTGTAAGAAAACATAACCTAGTTGAATCACGGTAACTATGACTCATTAATCTGAGACATCTGTTGATAACCCCTGAAGTCACTGTATTTCAGCACTGCAACAATTAATAACCCTTGCACAAAACAAATAGGGAACATTAATGGATTAGTAACCTCTATGTTTTGGCCTCCTGTGATCTCTAGACTCAACAGAAACGTAACCATAGTGTAAAAATGAGGTAAGTGTTAGAAGTCTAGACATCCTATATCTGGCCATTCTCTTTGGTAGCTGCCCTGGGGTAGTTATTAGAAAATCTATAGTTAAGCAGATTAAAGTTTCTTGTAAGTGGTGTTGCTGGCAATGCCCTCCAAACGGAACAGGATAGCTGTAAGAGCAGTAGTGCATTTTTCCCAACTTGTATTTTTTGCCTTAAATTGTCCTTTACTGATGCTGGACTTTCAAAATGACAAGAAATCAGCTCATGTACAAATACTTGTTGTCACTTTTTCTAGTTTCCTTTCCCCTCTATCCCCTTAAGACTTCTTCATTATAATTTATTGACACACAGCCTAAAAAACTGTGATTTTTCTACTGGGAGTGGCAGTTGCTTTTTGAAAAATCACTTGTATTAATAATTTTAAGCTTTGATGAAACAAACATAACAATTATGTAAGGAACAAATAACACTGCACATATTTTTGCAAGTGATCAAATAGTTTATGGTTGCACATGATGAAGGTGCAATAATTTTGCAGGCTTTTTTCCTTTTTCCTGAAAATCCTCCAGTACTTTTTTTCCATCTATCTTTATTACTTTGAAGAAATGTGGGGAAAAAAGTTATTCGGTGAAATCCATCACCAGCATAAAATGTGATTGACAGGGGGTTTTGTGACTTACGCTGGTTTAATCGAAATCAGATTCCAGTTCTAACATCAGAGAAACGCATTTGGTTAGAAGTAAGATACAGTTGCCAGTGGAGGATTCCTTTATGTCTGCTTTTAGATAGGTCCCTGCTGCCCTTTTAAAAATGTAAACGTGCAATTAATGCAAGCACATATCTAGTGAAATATTCCTGGTGTTATCTTCCAGGTGAGACCTTTAGAGCTGTAGTGCTGTGTTCTGTGTGGTTATTAAACTTCCCATAACTCTTCAGACTGTCTTCAGTATTTGCACTAACGTCTTTGGCTCAAATTTCCTCTCTCACACTGTATAATATTAGTTCTTTATCAGCCTACACCCTTCATTTTGCAAGTGGCTATATTGATCTAGGCCTTTTTTGTGTCAATATGCACAAACTGTCACTGCTTAATGCACATCATAGCTCAATTTAGTGGGAGTCACTACTCATCTGAGCCCTGACAGGAATGGCATCAGGTTTGTAAAGTGCTTTGTGGCTCTTGGCACACCTTTACCATTTACAGTAATTTCTTTTTGGCAGTAGTAGGATTTCTAGGTGAAGTGGTAGAGCTTTATGATGCAAGTAACCTTGCTGTTGAACTTACCAAGAAACCAATCTCAACTCTGTCAGGTTATTTTTAAAAATTATATGCAACCTTGAAGCGCTCCTTGCCAGCCCGTCCACCATCAAAGCCTGGGACTGGGCAAGAACAAGAAATCCTGTCTGCTATTTTCAAGCCTGTTATCATCTTTTACGTGTGATGATTTGAAAAATCATATTTGAAAAAAAAAATAATCAAATATTTTCATTAACTGTGCGTTTATGGATTGGTCTCATGGTCTGCTGATAGCATTTTGTGTAGCTACCACAAAATTCATTTATGGCTATTTGATTTTAGGAATGCTACCTGAAGAACAGCTGCTCTGCAGCTACCTCTGTTGGCTGATCAGGCATCAAGTCCCGTGGCTGTCTGTAGGGTATCCTCTCCCACCTCTTTCCCCAGTGAACATAATGTGTGCTTCACTTTAACCACAAGTAGTCCCCCAGGTTTCAAGCGTGGTACTGCAACTCATGTG